GTTTCTCAGGTCAGGGTTTCACAAGTATGAAATCAAGGTATTAGCCAGCCTGCATTTTAATCTGGAGCTCAAGGTTCTCGTCCAAGTTCATGTGATTATGACAGGATTCAGTTCCTTGCAGTTGTAGGATTAAGGTTCCCATTTCCTTCCTGGCTACCATCCAGAGGCTGCTCTCAGCCCCTAGAGGCTGTCCTCATTCCTTGGCACGTTGATCCCTCCACCTTCCAAGCCAGTGACAGAGAATCTGCCTTATATTGAGTACCCCCTGACTCCATAAATTTCTTTCCAGAAAGAGCCCAGTCCCTTTTAAGGGTTCATCTGATTAGCCGAGGCCCATTGATGATAACCAACCTTAAAATTCAGTTGAATTATGACCTTAATTACATCTATCCAGTGCTTTCACAGCCACAAGTAGATTAGTGTTTGACTAAGTGGAAGAAGATGTGTGAACAACCAGGGATCAGGACTCTTGGCTGCCATCTCAGCAGTCCACCTACCAGAGAAAGCGATTCTTTTATGCTCCCAATTTTAAGGTGAGATATGAAGAAGAGAAACATCTTTGACATAGGGAGAATGATTCAAGTTTACTTTTTTTAGGATTTTATTTATTCATTTGAGACAGAGAGAACATGAGCATGGTAGGAGGGGCAGCAGTGAGGAGGCAGAGAGGGAGAGGGAGAAGGGGGAGACAGTCCTGACATGGGACCCTATCCCAGGACCTGGAGATGATGACTTGAGCCAAAGGCAGATGCTTAACAATATGAACCACCCAGGTGTCCCTGATTCAAGTTTTCTAAAACTTGGGGAGATTCACCTCACTTGCCTCTTCCCTGTCCATGGATGAGAAGGCCTCTTATCTTGAGGTGGCAAGAAATGAGGCTAGAATAGTACCTAAAGGTCACAGTGGCTATAGAAGCTACATATAAATCACATCTACCTCTCCTTGGGGATACACCATGGAACCTGAATTGAAAAATCTTTCTCTGGTACTATAGAGACAGCCCTCAAAGGGATCTAATGCCACCAGGCTGAAAAGTGAGTTCTCCATAGGATCCAGGCAGCAGGATCCAGACATCATGTCAGGTGCTCTGGTCCCTTAAAGAGGGGGGACAGGTAGGGAAAGGGAAGGAACTTGACAGGGGCCCTTTGTTGTCACTGATCTGACCTGAGACTGAAAGAGAAGAGCTGCAGAGCAACTCAAACACCTTTAGACTATCCACCTTTACTCCCTTCTCTCCTGGTTTTACCACACATTTTATGTAAACCAATGGGTCTCTCCTATAAGAGGAACTGGCAGGCCTGTGCCTCACATGAAAGAATTAGATCTGACTCTGGGGCTCAGGTGCAGGAGGAAAGAGGGGTGTGGGGGTGGCCTTCATGGAAGAAAACAAGGCCTTGGGCATTGAGTAACAGCTGAGACTAGCAAGCCTCATTGTCCAGCATTCCAAGTAGTCTAGCAACATGCTGGCCTCTGCTGCAGAAAGAGAACAGAGGATCCCCTGGTAGAATGAATGGAATCTGATTTCAATTACGTCCAGTATAGTCACCCTCTTCAGGCAGAGAGGTCAGAACACCTGGTGCAGCTTGGGCCACTGTGGCTGCAGGGACAGCACATTACCTGGGTCCTAGAGGCAAGTGTGAATGCAGCTTCTTTGCCTTAAGCTGGTATCATATATATCTAGAGGAGGAGGATGTGAAAATATCAGCAAAGTTCTCATTAGCACTATGCAGAAAAGGGGGAGTGATTTCATGTTGATGGACTCTCCCCACAGTCTCTGCACATATTGATTTTGCTTGTAATGAATTTGCTTAGGTCCACGAGTCATCACCCCAGTGAGATGTGAGTCATTGGTGGGAGAGTCAAGGTGACAGAGTGCACTGCACTGATTGCACCAGCACCAATTGCTTTGTCCCCGTACCTTTCAGAAAAGCCCATGGATTCATCTGTATAAAATTTATTTAGATTCTTTTCTTTTTTATCAATAGCATGAGTAAGGCATGACAAATGAGACAACTGCCCCAGAAAACAGTCTAGATTCACAGCATTATTCCATAGAACTTTCTGAGATGATGGAAATGTTCTGTCTGTATTGCTGAGCACTTGAATGTGGCCAGTCAGACTAAGGAATTAGATTTTTAATTTTCTTTAATTTTAATTAATTTAAAATAAAGTAGCCACATGTGGCCAGTAGTTAGTGTGTTGGACAATGTATATCTAGAAGGAGCTCAGAAAGGTAAGTACTGTGATAGACAAAAAACAAGTTAATCTAAAAGAGAGCCGATGTAGCACAGGGAACTCTGGGTTAGGAATAGAAACCCCCAGGGCACCAGGGTGGCTCAGTGGTTGTGCATCTGCCTTTGGCTCAGGTTGTGATCCTGGGGTCCTGGGATGGAATCCCACATTGGGCTCCCCACAGGGAGGCTGCTTCTCCCTCTTTCAATATCTCTACCTCTGTGTGTTTCTCATGAATAAATAAATAAATAATCTTTTTTAAAAAAGGGATAAGGGATGCCTGGGTGGCTCAGCGGTCGAGCGTCTGCCTTCAGCCCAGGGCGTGATCTTGGAGTCCTGGGATCGAGTCCCACATCGGGCTCCCTGCATAAAGCCTGCTTTTCCCTCTGCCTGTGTCTCTGCCTCTCTTTCTGTGTGTCTCTCACAAATAAATAACATCTTTAAAAAAAAAAAAAAAGGAATGAAACCCCACGGTTTTACTCTTAGCTCTGCCACTAGGTGACCTCACTCTTTCTGGCCTCAGCATCCCCATCTTTGACTTGAAAGGTGGATTAATGTCAGAAGTCCCAAAATGGTAGCTAAGGACTGAATTTAACTTTGAAATACAGATGAGTTCCAGGAAAATTTTTAAATATTACACAGTTGCCTTCTAGGGTTCTGTGTATGTATGTGTGCACATGCATGTGTATGGCAAAGCCAGGAAGGCCAGTAGTCATTTACTCTGGTTCACCAGAGTTTCTACCATTCACCTACACACACACACACGCGTGTGCGCACATGCGCGCGCGCATGCACACACCACTGCATTATCTATGTACGCCCTGAAGGTATATTGAATCTGTGACCCTTGGATGAGGTGGTTTCTAAAGACCCTTTCTACTTTGCCATGCTGTGAATTTTTAGGCCACTATAGTGCTCTAAACCTGTTTCTACTTTGGGCACATGACTAGAGTATGTTCATAGTTTCCTGCCTCTTGTCTTGTGGATCTGATGCTAGTTACTGAAGTTTGGAATCAAGGGTGAGGATGGAAATCAGGGAAGATATAACCCCAACCCCACTCCTCAGCTCTGCTGTTTGGCTAGAAGTAGGGTTCAGGGCTTCAGAGACCTTGAGGAGGCAGCATGATATAGTAGAAAGAACATAGCCTTTGTAGTGAACAGACTAATTTAGAATATTGGGTTCTCTTTCTTGATAGCTGTGTTTCCTGAGTTTATTCACATGTAAAACAGGGATAGGATTTATTCCTGATCTAAAATCATTGTGGAATTAAATGATACAATGTGTTCACAAAGTGAGGCATATGGAAAACCCTGGAAAATAGTTACCCTTCTTTTTCTTAGTTGCTTTGGGCATAGGGCTAATTACATCTCTGTCCTCTTTCAGGCTGGAATGGGGAACTACATGTCTTTCAGTTCCTGCGCTCAAGGCCAGAAACTGCTAGTGATGAGAAAGATGGGGTCTACCTTTAGAAACTGTATCAAGGGAATAGACCCAGGAGGCACTGCCAGTCTGTGGAACCCTTGCTGACATGGGTTCACCAGATGATATTTTGGGGGCCAAGCCTCTAAACCTGGTAGTAGATGGGCCCATACCTTCCATCCCATGCCCTTGATGGAAGGTGGGAGGTGGGAGTTGACAGCATGTGTGCATATCTCTTTATCACAGAATGTGCAAGCCCTACAGAAATGGTGGCTAGAAAGTGTCATCTTGCACTCGGGTTGATTTTTCCAGGCTCCCCTGTTACTTTGTCCTGAGTTCTCTGTGCTCCTCTTACACACCACCATTTTCTCTTCCTCTATCCTAGTTGTTGATCCAACATGTGATCCATTTTTGCATTAACTTACTGAGTTGCACTATGACTGGAGTTTGCAGGACTTATTTTTCTAATTAGAGCTGCAAATCAGTTCCAGAAAAGTATCTTTTTCTATAGGACCCAGAAACATATCAGCAACAGTTTTTGTTGTAATTATCCATTTAAATTGAGCAATCAACTTATCTCTTTGTTTTATTTATTTATTTATTTATTTTTATTTTAAAGGGATTAGATATAAAGTGGTTTATGGTTCTCCCCAGTGCAACTGCCTGTGCTAGGCCTCAAAGTTATGACCTTTTCAATTATTTATATTTCTGCCAATATAAATGCTAGGGAAAATAACACAAAGTAAATATCAGGATGCCCAGGTACCTCTAAATTGTGCGTGTGCAAGAATGGGGCGGATGGGGTGAGGATGATTCTTAAGGTTTAAGTTTGGGATTATTATTGTTTTTAAAAGATGTGATTTCTATCATCCTTTCTCATAGCTGCCTCTTAGTATGGTTCCCATTTTACAGACAGAGTCAGAGATATTCTGTTACTCCCTTGATAATATTAAGGATTTCAGCCCTTTAGCTTCTCAATATCCCCTTTTCTAAAGAAGAAGATCAGTATGTGTGTTATGGCGTATGTTCAACTATGGGCATAATGTCTGACAATTATCTGTATTCAGTAGAAAAAGTAACACGAGGAAATTCCCATTTCTTAAATCCAAGGTGGGACTGAGGAGAAAGCAAGATATGACAATTTGGGTTTAGTAGGATTTTAGAACGATAAATGATTCATTCAGCCAGTGTTTAAACTGAGCACTTGTCCTTAAGGAGTTTAGATTCTGTGACCGGAAAGAAGGAATATCCTTATTTTCTTAGCTTAGGCAACCTTTCTCACAGGGTAGGTGATTTGTGTGTTTGGCCATTGATAAATGAATCCAAGTTTCCTTTCCTTCCCAATAGCCCGGAAGCTAAAGAAACTGGGGAATCTGAAACTGCAAGAGGAAGGAGAGGCTTCCAATGTCACCAGCCCCACTGAGGAGCCAACCCAGAAGCTGACAGTGTCACACATTGAAGGCTATGAGTGTCAGCCCATCTTTCTGAATGTCCTTGAAGCCATCGAGCCAGGCGTGGTGTGTGCTGGACATGACAACAACCAGCCCGACTCCTTTGCAGCCTTGCTCTCTAGCCTTAATGAATTGGGTGAAAGGCAGCTTGTACATGTGGTCAAGTGGGCCAAGGCCTTGCCGGGTAAGGAAACCAGAAGTGTGGTCATGGGATAAGGGAGAGCGTATTTAGTGAATTGCTCCTATGGGCCCGCACCATGTCTTAACTTATGCAGTCCTCACCATAACCCTATGAAGGGGAGAGATTGGTATAATGCCCACTTTAAAAATAAGGAAGTTCATAAATCAAAGAGAAGAGCAGCATTATAGAGTATCCCATGTCCCTCACATCAGCACACAGTGATCACGTTTGGATGTTTAAGCCACAGACATAGCACATTTCCCCATAATCAGAGATCACACGGACATACCCTTCTATGCTTTAAGGTACTCTTCTACATGTGCACACACAGGTATACCTGCAAAGACAGTCTTGAGCCTGACTGATATTCTGTCTTCAGTATTACCCTCATACCATGGGAGATCTAAAGAATACAGTATGGTAGAAAGAAAAGGTTGGGAGTCAGAATACTTAGGTTCTAGTCTTAGCTCTACTGGTGCCTTTATTGTGTGACCCCTTCCCTTTTCTGGGTCTCAGTTTCTTCACCTATACTATGTGAGGAATAGTTGGGCCTAAATTGATGGTTGTCAAATTTTGCCTCAAGAAACTCTTGTAGTGCTCTTTAAAACTGCCTTAGAAATTACAGTGGGAAGAAATATTAGGTGATAATGAAAGAAACACAAAGTGTTTGTCTAACTTCTGCTTGGTTACTTCCAGTAATAGAGAACTCAGTCTCTCCCTAAGGCTATCTGTTGTTTGAACAAGGTGCATTATTAGAATATTAGAGCTTGAGGAAGCCTTAGAGCTCCTCTCTCCAAGGATTCACAAACTTTCCTTGAGTAGCCAAAGTCTTTATTTCTTAAAAATATTGTATACAGATCCAAGTGGAGCTGGTTGATTTAAAGCCAGTACCTCTCCCTCACTACCCTGAGAGAAGCCTTGGGTCACTCTTCCAGAATCTTAGGGCTTCAAGGAACACAGTTTGGAGACAAGTGAAGCATAAACTCTATAAGGGTTGTCTTAATCCTAAAATTCTATGACTCAAAGATTCTTTTGGAACATCAGCAACCTAAACCTGTTACGGAGTTAAAGATTACCCTGCCTTCTAAGAATTGCTGCCATTCAGATGGAAATTGATAGTGAACAGAGCAGTTTCATTTGTATTACTTGATTTGATCTTCATAACAGTACTATAAAGTAGGGATTCTTTTTCCTATTTAAGAGAGAAATACACTCAGGCTCTAAGAAGTGATGTACTTGGCTACAGTTACATTGTCTGAAAGTAGCAGGGGCAGAACTTAAGCCCAGGTCCCCTCCTGATTCCAAATCCCTTCCTCATCCCACTCTACCCATAGTCTGTGTGGTTCCCCTATAGTTCCAGAGCCCTTGGGTTTCCAGTGAGGGGCCAGAGCCTCATCTGAGCCTACCTGGATCATAATATGATCTTGTTACCTTTAAGACATTGCATGTTGGCTATCAAGCCTTTATTTTTTCTTTCTAACTCAAAAGGCCCAGGCATCCAGCAGACCATCCTAACACCTTCCTTGCTTGAGAAGCCGAGGTTGGTTAGACAATAAGATCACTGGGAAGAAGGCCCACAGACTGGTTGTGTGTGCAGTGTGACAAAACAGAGGGTTCACAGAGGGAGGAAAAACCACAAAAAAGAGAAAGTTGCTTTAATTCTTATCACTTATTCAGCTGGATGTCTTAACGCCATGTGTGTAACAGAGAATCCGTTTAATCTTCCTAGCTGTTGCTAACCACTTAAATCATCCTATTTTTTGAATAGAGAACCTTTTTGTAGATCCGATTCCACTTAATCCTCACAGCAGCCCTGTTAATCATAGGAGCTATGATTTCCATTTCAAATGACAAGGCTCAGAGAGGAGAGGTTAACTAACTCATTCCATTTGGGTTATTTAACAAATGGAGCCAGAATTTGAGCTTATGTTGCCTGGTTTCTAATTTGGTGGTCTTTACAATAACCTACCATAAATCATTATGGCAAAGTTTGTATGCCTGGGGGTCACTGGCTTTCCTCAGCCCATCACCCAAACCGAGAAACCCTCTTTCTATATTAACAAGTCTGCAAATCAGTATCAGTTCACCATCTAGCTCATCAGAGGAGATGATCTCTGACCCTGAGTCATTTAAAATGGTAGCTTCAAAAGAAAGCCAGTTACCACATTCATAAGAACTGTTTTTCATATCATCAGTAATTATACCTATTAGTTCACATTATTTGCTCATTCAGCATATTGACTGCCTGAACTTTGCAAGCCACTATGCTAGACATATTAAATAAATTTTTTGTCAGAAGTTTTCTGTGTTGGTGATGATATATGTAAATCACCTAGGATAGTACCTGGACATTAATAAATAATACCTACCACTTGAGGGTGTATGAGTAGATTGTATACAGTGTATTTATAATCAGATGCTTCTGATTTGGAATCTTAGCTATATACTACTAGTTGTGCAACCTTGAGCAAATCACATGTCTACACGTACTTCTGTTTTTTACATTTGCAGAGGTGGTAGAACAATCAGTAACTTGCTAATTGTTAGTAACATTGAGATTATATAGAAAGAGGACACAATAGTAGATGCTGTGTAAATGATGGGTCATTATTATGAGGCTTGAATGCTAAGCCACTGCTTTCATTAGAATCAGTTTAAGCTGCCTCCAGCCTTGCCTGAAGCTCATGCATGGATCCCAAGGATGATTTATCTTATTTGAAGACCTTAGATGTCTGATGCACTATAACACTAAAGAATTTCTTTACTGGCCTTTCTTTGGACATGTGCTCCAGACTAGATATGAGACTACAGGTTTCCACTGCAGGTTGCTAAGAAATTATAGTTGACTACATTTTATTGAGAAAACAGAATCTCAGTGAAACTTTCTCTGCTCCCTAACCTGTTTGGTGTGTTTCAGAACCTGACGATGACTCCTCTTTATTTTTCCAGAACAGTAGTAAGTAGGTGTTAAGTGAAGATGTGCTAAAGGAAACTTGGAGGCTGGGGCTACTGTCCTCAAGTCATCCCTTACTTAATAGTCATGCTATCTGGACAGGCGACTTCAAAGGCTGAGCATTAGAAAACAGAGTTAGGTATTGTAATCATATTAGACCTGTAGGAAAATTAGCCTGCTATGTTGCTGATGTGTACACAGTAATTAGGATTGAGCACAAAGGAGGTCTCACTAAGGACCATTAGTATTATTACAACTAGTATTACAGCCAAACTAAGCTTTCCCTTTTTTCTCTTCTTTGTTAGTTCCCTGGCATCTCAAGGAGGGAAAAAAAATCATCAGTACTGACGACTTCTTTGGTACCTGTATAGTTTAATCCCTGTTCTCCCTACGCACCCTCATATTCACACACTAAGCAGCCAAGTCTTTCCTTGGTTCTGCTTCAGAGGTTCAGGTTTCAAGCTCCCAGGCCCTTTCTCCAAGAGGTGTTCCATGCTTGGTACCTGCTTTTTGTGTCCTACCGGGAAAAGTCAGTACCAGGAGGTCTGTGCTACAGAATGACTTCTGGCAGGAGATACTCTGGGGTCTGAGACTTAAGCTAGTTTGTCAGCATATCACTACAATGAAGAAGGGAGGCACAGGCCTGAGAGCTAAGATTGCAGCCAATTCATTGAGCTGCAGTGCTGGTGATATGGGGACTTTGTGGCCCCTGATGTCTGATAAGCTTGGGACCTAAAAGAAAAGAAGGAGGAAATGGGGTTTTAGGGTAGGCAAGAACCAAGCCAGCAGAACAACGTGTCTAGATAGTGTAGACTTCAGACCTGGGCCTGTGGCTAAGAAACACTCAGGACCTTGGTAGCGCTTGAGCTGTGTTCTTCAGCAGTAGAGTGGAAAAAGCTCTGAAGTAGAGAATCAGAACACCTAGGTTCTAGTCCGAATTCAGCCACATATAGACTGTGTGACCTTGGGGAAGTCAGTGAACTTATCTGGCCCTCGGATTCTTTGTTGGCAAAATGGATGTCACATTGTCTACCCTCTTGGGTTATTGTGAGAGTTAAATTAGGTCATCAAAAGGAAAGTTAGAAGCTTTGCCTAAATTCATGAAAGCATTCCTAACGAGATATAGCAAAGCAAAGTTTCAGATAATTCTGGATCTTTTGGAGAAAGGAGAAATGGGATACTGTTAAGAGATGAGCTCTGAGGTGATGCTCCAAACATTCAGCTGCCTCAAAACCTCCAGAAAAATATAGCTACATCTATTCTACCTGTGTGGTATTGTGGAAGTAGCATCTAGGAACCTCTGTTCTCTGAGACTAAGGGAGATAATTTGGATATCATCTAATTCTAATTTTATAAAATGAAAAAAACTGGGGGTTCTTATTCCATTTGATTTAATAAATACATCAAATTAATAAATATTATAAATACTGAATTAATATTTCAAAGATGTGTACTCAAATATCTGAACTGTGCTATGTACTAGGGAGGAAAGTTAACAGAAGGGATGGTTCCTGTCTTCAGGAATCGACAAGTCTTATGGAGGAGACAGATGTGTACATAAGTAAATCCCAGTACTGTGTAATGAGTGCTATAATTGGGTAGGACTATACAAAGTTCAGTAAGAAGGTAAAGGAAGAATCTTTAAATCTTCTGCTTAGATGAGTTGGTAAAGGCTTCACAGAGGAAGGTGCTTTTCAGTGAATATTGGAAAGATGAATTGGTATTTATCAGATGGAAAGCCTGAGGAGGGAGGAATGCATTCTAGGCAAAGGCAACTGCCTGTGTAGAAATAGCAGAGTTATAGAGGCATGAGAAAGTATGGTGTATTCAGCAAACTAAGTATTTCAGGACAATTAGAACCTAAAATCTGAGAAGTAGCAAGAAATTAGTCTAAGGAGGCAGGTCATAAAGAACTTGTTTGTGTATAATAATGGCAGTAGGGCAGAATTGGCAGAGTAGGAAGCTAGCAGAGCTTGGTTACTTGTTGAATAGAAAATAATGAATGAACAGGAAGTTAGAGTCAGAAAGAGAATCAGAGAAAAGAGAGAGAGCCCAAAGGTGGTGTAGAGAAGTCAGTGGCTATCAAAGGCATTCCAACGTATGCTGATATGTAATAAAATCCATTTCACAGTGTTGTCAGAAGGGACAAATAAGATTATAGCTAGAAAAGGTCTTTGTAAAGTGCAAAGTGCTGTTCACATAGAAGAAATTATTATTACACTGAATCTTCAGGAAGGCCCAGTAATCAAGAGCCTGTGCTCTTTGGAGTCAGACTGCTTGGCTTTAGAATGTGGTCTGCCAATTACTAGCCTTATGATCTTGGACAAGTTACTTAACCTTTGTGTAATTCACTTTTACAGATTCACAGAATGGGGTTACTAATGGTACCTACTTTTTATTGGATTGTTGGGAAGATTAAATGAGTTAATATAAGTGATATACTTGTTAAAGAGTTAGTCATTATAAGCAGTCAGTGTTAGATTATTACTCTCCTCCAACTGACAGTACCATCTTTTGCCTCCCATCATCATCTCATTTAAGTAGTTCACTGAAATAGGGAGAGCAAGGAATATTAGCCCCACCATATAGTTTGTTCTTGCCCTGCTCCTCAGCATTAATGGCCCCTGGGGCTCCTCGGGAGCTGCCTGAGTGCCAGTGGTTCTCACCCTAGTGGAGGTCTGGGACTTCATTCAGCTCATCAATTGCTCAGTCTGACCACTGCCTGTACCTCATCTTCAGGCTTCCGCAACCTGCATGTGGATGACCAGATGGCAGTCATTCAGTACTCCTGGATGGGGCTCATGGTGTTTGCCATGGGCTGGCGATCCTTCACCAATGTCAACTCCAGGATGCTCTACTTCGCCCCTGACCTGGTTTTCAATGAGTAAGTGCTCATGGGCCCAGAACTCACATAAACATAACCTCTGGCCAGACCTGATTGGGGGTGATGATGGTAATGGGAGCAACAGTGGGGGGTAGCCCATTTGACCTCTAGGCAGTGGAGGCTCCAACCAGACTTCCCAACCTGAGGTGGCTTTGGCCTGCTGAAAGGCCACCTGGTGGGAAGCAATGGGGGATTGGTGCTGAGCAATTCCTTTCCCACCCAAGACCTAGTATTTTAGCCAGTTTCTGACCTGCCTTGTAGATTATCTCAACGTCATGTCAGGGTCCCTCTCCTTCACTCCAAGCAATGTAGGGAATGGACAAAGAGACTCGTTATGAAAGCTGAAGTTCCCATGGTCCCTTTGCTACCACTGAGGGCTACTGCCAGTCACAGTTTGTAGTAGCTCCTCTGTGCCAGGACTATAGGAGATAGTTTCTAAATCCATTCTCGTTGAGCCCTTAGAATTAAGCTCAACAGAGACACCTGGGTGGCTCAGCGATTGAGCATCTGCCTTCGGCTCAGGGCGTGATCCTGGGATCTGGGATTGAGTCCCACATCGGGCTCCTTGCATGGAGCCTGCTTCTCCCTCTGCCTGTGTCTCTGTCTCTCTCTCATTGTCTCTCATGAATAAATAAATAAAATCTTTTAAAAAAGAAAAAAGGAATTAAGCTCAACAAAACAAAGTGACTCACCCAAGGCATGTTGGTTGACAAAATTCAAAGTATGTCTGTATAACTCTCAGCTCTTACACTGCCTCATGGTGGTAAGTGACAGGGAGGAGCATCTCTACCACTCTCTGGCCATGTGACATTGGCCCAGCCACTTCCTTTCTCTTTAAAAAAAGGTTTAATTGGTGCCTAGGTGACTCATTTGGTTAAGCATCCAACTCAAAAACAGAGGATCATAGGGGAGGGGAGGGAAAAATACAATGAGATGAAATCAGAGAGGGAGACAAACTGTGAGAGACTCTTAACTACAAGAAACAGACTGAGGCGGGCAGCCCGGGTGGCTCAGCGGTTTAGTGCCGCCTTCAGCCCAGGGTGTGGTCCTGGAGACCCAGATGGAGTCCCATGTCAGGCTCCCTGCATGGAGCCTGCTTCTCCCTCTCCCTGTCTCTCTGTCTCTCTGTCTTTCTATCTCTCTCTCTCTCTGTGTGTCTCTCATGAATAAATAAATAAAGTCTTTAAAAAAAAAGAAACAGACTGAGGGTTACTGGAGGGGAGGTGGGTAGAGGGATGGGGTAATTGGATGGTGGGCATTAAGAAGGACACGTGATGTAATGAACACTGGTTGTTATATGCATCTGATGAATCGCCTCTCTCTACCTCTGAAACTAGTAATATACTATATGTTAATTAGTTAAATTTAAATAAAATTTAATAAGTAAATAAAAATACTAAAAAGAGATTTGATTTGATTTATGAATTTGGCCAAGGGCTGAGATTTGGGAATTACACTTTTCTGAACTAAAATTTCCGTTCTATAATTTCCTGTGTCACTATCTATGGGCAAGACTTGACTTCTCTGACCTTCAATTTCACGGTCTGTTAATAAAATACAACTTTCTTAAATGGTTTGTTATGATGACTAAAATGAAAGCTACTGGATGTGAAATGCCTGTCCCATAATAGGCAAGAAATAAAAAAGAAGTACCTTTCTGATACTCTTTCCCTAATAGTGATAATTTTCTCTATGCTTGCTGTTTGAGGTCCCCTGATAGCATTGTGAGTGGAGCTGCCCAAAAAATTCTCCCCAAGGACCTTGAGCCAGTCTCACCACAGAGAATCCTTTTGGTCAGGGCAGGAATTGACCTTCCTTCCCCTCCAGCCCTCTAACCCAGAAGAGCCTTAAAATAAAATGTACAGGCTACTGGTTCCTTCCAGTACAGCAGGGCCATATGGGGGAAAATTAGTATCCCCAGCTGCCCTCTTCCAACCCAGCTAACTCTAGTAGCCAGGAGCTAAGAATAACCATTGGGCTTTTGGCACAACTTGCTTTATAGTTTCCAGATTTCCAAAGAGTTACCTATGATGCCATCTTAGGTAGGGGTAGGCCTCTAAAAGCCCTCTTTGTGTGTAACTCTCACTCCTACCCTCCAGTGATTGAATTAACATCCTGTACCACCCTTCCCATCCAGAGCCCTAAGACCCTTGAATCTTTGCAAGGTGTTGATTGTTTTCTAAATCCTCATTTCCTTTTCTGCCTCGATATAAGTAATTGGGCACTCCTTAGCTTTCTGGCCCACTCCCATGTATCTCTTCAGAAGGCACCACAGGATGGGGTGCCAGGGTGGTTCAGTGGTTGAGCGTCTACCTTTGGCTCAGGTCCTGATCCCAGGATCCTGGGATTGAGTTCCATATCAGGCTCCCCAGAGGGAGCCTGCTTCTCCCTCTGCCTATATCTCTGCCCCTCTTTCTGTATCTCTCATGAATAAATAAATAAAATATTTAAAAAAAGAAAGCACCACAAGACTCCTAACATGGGCAGGGTCCTAGACCCATCAAGCCCCAGAGCTTCTGAAACAACAGTGCTCCCGTTCCTCTTGTAGGAACCACTATGGTAGAGCTCTTCAAGTCTCTAGAAACATCTAAACCAATATTTCTCAACAGGAATGCTGGTGACATTTTCAGAGGAATAATTCTTCATTGTGTAGGATGTTCTTGCATATGGGAATATGTTTATATTCAACAGGCCTGGCACCTGCCAACTAAATACCAAATAGGATCACAGTCACTGTAATAGTCCAAGTTTTTCCCACATACATCTAGTGCTCCCTAGGGAGGTAGTCCCCTCCAGTTGAAAGCCACTAATTGTTGCCAGCCTTCTCAAGATACTCATAGGGAAGCTGAAGCCCAAAAGGAGAGAGAAGGACTCTGAGCCAACCCATTTCCTGATCTCTTTGACACCAAACCCTGTCATCAGGCCTGCTTTCCTCTCTCCTCGTCAACCTCTTTGGGGAGAACTCATGTTGTGAGGGCGGGGACCCCAGCTATGTGACCCTGAATAAATTACCTAACGTCTCTGAACCTCAGTCTTTGGGTCTGTAGAATGGTGAGTAGCATTATAATGGCACCTTCCTACTTGTCATTTATTGAACACTCACCATATGCCAAGCACTGTGCTTGGTGTTTTGCAATTTTCATCTCTTCTTTTACCACTCTCCTTTATTCTCACCTACCTCTGCTCTCTTCCTGAATTCCACTCCTGCTCCTTGTTTTCTACCTTCCACTCTCTTCTCTCTTTCCACTAACTCTCTCCCTACTCTTTTTGTCCTTTCTCCTTCTTGTTCCCTTCCCCTCTGAATTCCTTCCCTTGCTTTTCCTCCTCTCTCTCTCTTTTTCCCACATTTCTCTGTCCCTGGGACTTGCAGGAGTGTTAGATCAATCCTCCATATTAGGGCTGTGATTTCAACTGTAAAAAAACTGCAGTGTTATCACCAACAGAGGCTTGCAAGTACAGTATAGACTGGAGCTGGATCAGGTCCCAGGGTCAGCAGATCTTATTCAAAAATTCTCTAGGGTGAAGGACCTTGGAGCAACACTGCTTTGGTCAATTGACTTGTGATACTGTTTAAATACTTCCTCTTTCTAGCTGGTCTCCAACCTGAATTGAATATACCATCTGCCCGCCTTCCCTTTTTCTCCAGGCCAGCCAAGATCTCTCTAAGATAGGATGCTGACCTTCCACCCAACCAGTACCAGGCCTTCTTAGCCTATGGAACAGGCTAGTGGCTTGGGGGCCAAAATGTCAAACCACAGCTTTCAAGCCTACTGCTCTAGGAGGTCTTTCTCCTCACCACTTCAGTGGATGTCAAATTCCCTTTCCTTTTTCCACAAGATATAAAATCAGTTTTTGTAGGTCTTTTTCTTTCTCTCATTTTCTCTCTCTCTCTCTTTCTCTCTCTCTCTCTCTCTCTCTCTCTCTCTCTCTCTCTCTCTCACACACACACACACACACACACACACACACACGATTTCTGAAGTGCTGAAAACCAGGAAGGCCAACTAGCAGGAAGATGCTGTTATCTTCATAGAGGCTTGCCATGGCCAGTGATAAGACAGAGAGGTTGTTCCCCCCTGAGAAACTGCTCAAACCTTGGCCATTTCCCTATATAATTTATAGGTGCTAATGTGATGATCTGTTGACAAGTCACTGTAACAAAAACAACTCACATGTGTTTACTACTCCTGAACTGGGATAAGAAACCACCAGTATATGCGGAGTACCTCTTCAAGGTACATTTAGATTGGACATTCAGAAATACTTCCTGGCTGATTTGATAAGCATTGGAACTCATTTTGAAGGGACAGTGGGGAATCTTCTTCCCTGGGAGGTTTTTTGTTTTTGTTTTTTTTTAAGTGACAAAATTTCTAGCAAGGGAAATGACACTTATACCAAAAGACAGGGGAATTGACAGGATATATTACTGTGGCCAGTTGGGGATCCTGGTGTCCTTATGTTAGGATTTGATTTCTAAAACTTATCTCCTAGAAATACTCCATATTGGGATGCCTGGAAGGCAGGTTCTGGCTTTAGCGGTAGCTGGGATATTAGAACTGTAGTCAGGGAGACCATGTGCCTGGCCCATTGTGTTCATTTGGTTAGGCTTTCCTGTCTCTGTCTCAGGAAATAAGAGGGCACAGGGACCTGGAAATTCCATGTGCTAACCCATATCCTGACCAGGGAAGATGAGTAGTTACCAGGATGTCAGGATTTTGGGAAAAAAAGAACAACCTCATTCCTTGTCAATGAAGCACCACCCAGAGAAACCGCTAGCTCTTCTTGGAGAACCTGGGAAGGGGAGGGCAACCAAAGACATTCTCTCACAGCTTATTGTTAAAGCCTTTCCTTCTTACTCCTTTCCTTTCTCTGGATGTCTCCTCTGCAGGTACCGCATGCACAAGTCCCGGATGTACAGCCAGTGTGTCCGAATGAGGCACCTCTCTCAAGAATTTGGATGGCTCCAAATCACCCCGCAGGAATTTTTGTGCATGAAGGCGCTGCTGCTATTCAGCATTAGTAAGTGCTTGGAGAGATACAAATAAAATGTCCCTGGGGTCATAGGCACTCAAAGGGGAACTACTTTTACCATTAAAGATTTATCGGGGAGAAGCCAGCAACTAGGCATTTTGTTTCTTCATTCACCCTCTCTCCTCCATGCTCCCTTAGCATCCTATTTTCCTACCAGGTATGAATTTCATGACCACAGACTAATTTCTTTGCTAGAACTCAACGTCTATTAGATCCCTACCTACCTCCAGCCTCTCTTTGGAACAAGGCTTTTGGGGCTGGCTGTAGCAGGTCTCTGAAATTTTCCATAGCGTCTCCCATAGAAACAGGCAAAGATCACCTTAAATTTATTGCAGAGCAGAAGGTATTGCCTCCTGAAAGGAATGTCCTCTTCTGCCAGTAGTAGGAGTTCCATGTAAGCAACCCAGATAGGGTTTGTTAGGCAGCCAAGTAATCTTTCTTTAATGTCTCTTCTAAACGGAGTGCTGTCTTAGCCCCCATAAGGAAAAAGATAGGCCACATTTGATATTCAAAGCTATATGTTTTAATTGTCTAAGTCAGAGCTGGACTGTGACATTGTAAAACCACAGATTCAAAGAAAGGTGTGGATAAGAAGACTACAAGAAAGAAAGGCTCAGTAAATTGTATTTACTTGATGCCCTTCCAATTGGGTCCAGCTAGCCTTTTGTCTAGAACTTCTTGGCTGACTGAAGGACCCAGGCGTACAGACTTCAACTGACAGGAAACCAAGTAGATGGTTCCCTCCCTGTGGGGGTAGGGGTCAAGTTTGTGGTCAGAAAACTTGGTGCTTTGTCTAATGCTTCTTTGTGGGCATGCTTCTCCTCCCCATTCTGTCTTCATCCCACATCAGTTCCAGTGGATGGGCTGAAAAATCAAAAATTCTTTGATGAACTTCGAATGAACTACATCAAGGAACTTGATCGTATCATTGCTTGCAAGAGAAAAAATCCCACATCCTGCTCAAGGCGCTTCTACCAGCTCACCAAGCTCCTGGACTCTGTGCAACCTGTAAGCAAATGATGGAGGGTGCTTTGTCAGGGTGAAGCAACTTGATAGAGCTAAGTGATCATATACTCTTCTAGGATCTGGCACCTCTTGTTGGGTGGTGCTTCCATTCTCCTCTGAATATGAATGTGGCCCAGGAAGCAAATGCAATGGAGAAGAAAGGAACATGGGTCACAATGCCCCTGGATGTTGTGAAAGAGGTGGAGGAATTGAGAACAGAGCAGTTGGGACTCAGGGAAAGGGCTTAGAGCAGATAAGTTCTCTAGGCAGACAAAACAGACCTAAATGTTTTCCCCCTCTTCCTTGAATCACGTTTGTATGTTTGTACGCGTGTGTGTATGTGTGTGTGTCTGTGTGTCTGTGTGAGAGAGGGAGGAAGAGAATGTAGGTGTGCACGTGTGCATTCTCATGCACATGCTGGGAAGGAGGAACACGCAGTCCTGAGTCAGACAGCTTGCAGTTGTGTAAGAGATCTCTTGGGAGCCCCCAGTAACTCCCTGGGGACCATTTAGTGTACGCATGCACGAACACAAACATGTAGAGACAGGGAGGATCGGGGCCAGGGAAGGAGGAAGAAATTAAAGGTGGGAGGAAGAGCCTGACCGAAGCCAACTCCTTGTCAAGCCTGTTTTCTCCCTCTTTATTGCTCCCCTACAGATTGCTCGAGAGCTGCATCAGTTCACTTTTGACCTGCTAATCAAGTCCCACATGGTGAGCGTGGACTTTCCAGAAATGATGGCAGAAATCATCTCCGTGCAAGTGCCCAAGATTCTTTCTGGGAAAGTCAAGCCCATCTATTTCCACACACAGTGAAGCTTTAGAAGCCCCTGTCTTCTCACCACCACCACCACCACCCCCGCTCCTCTTTTCAGATATCTTCTGCCTGTTATAACTCTGCACTACTACTCTGCAGTGCCTTGGGGAATTTCCTCTTTTGATGTACAGTCTGTCATGAAGGTGTTCCTGAGTTCTATTTGCTGTACTTTCCCCCTTCTTTTCTTCCTTTCCTTTTTTTCCTTTTTTTTTTTTTTTTACCTCCCTGTCTGATCCTCCCATGGCACTTTCAGACTCTGCTCCCTGCCATGGCTCTTATCTGTGTTTTGAATGGTGTTGTATTTCTTTAATTCTGTGATGATCCTCATGTGCCCCAGTGTCAAGTTGTGCTTGTTTATAGCACTGCACTGTGTGCCAGCCACACAAACGTTTACTCACCTAATGCCACGGGAAGTTTAGAGAGCTGAGTATCTGGGAAAACAAAAATGAAAACAAACAACCATCCTGAAACCCCAAATCCTGTAGGGTTTCTTTTACTCTTAAAAAAAAACCAAACACAATTCCCCCAAAGAGGCCAACAGTATGACTAGAATAAGGTAAAAATCGCAAGCCCATAGGGAGTCACTATTCTCGCGCCCCCCACCCCCAGCTCAGCCTCCCTGGGAGACTTTATTTTCTGCCAATGGCTATTGCCGTTAGAGGGCAGGATGACCCCAGAGATGAGTTAGGAGGGGAGAGACAGATTTAAGAGAGGACTTAAGAGGAGAGGTGGATCACCAGTACCTGCCCACAGCCTTGGCCCCTGATGGCTAGACTGCTTAACTGCAGTCCAGTTCATCTTACTGAAAATGTGCTTCTTGTTTGAAAATGTGTCTGCATGTGAACGCCTCCCCTCCAACCAAGCCTTTTTCTCTCTCACCCTCTGCCTTCACCCTCAAATTGACTTTCAATAAGCTTTTCTAAGAGCTTTGAATTGAATGTTCTCTTTTGCCACAACTTGGCCACTTCCACTGAAGAGTCAGACCAGTAAGAAAGAAAGGAGAGATCTGACCCTTTGGAAAGCCTTATCCAGAGCCAGGTCTGCTTTCCCATTTGTGGGTCAGGGAAGAGGTTGGGGCTGGAGTCAGAGGAAAAAGAATCGATACATTGATTGTTTTCCTGCTTAGGACACTGAAGATTTGATCACTCTCTTCTCTTACCTTTAAAAGACCTGAATGTTTTCCGCTTGACTCCATATGCACCTGTGAGAGCTCCTTCTTACCTGTCCTTCAGTGGTTTGTGGGCCTGGACCTCACCAGACTGTATTACAGCCATATTGGTGATACTTGTCCATTTATTTGGGCATGTTCACAGACTCTGCTAAGAGCTGCTACCACCAAGAAAGCTAGCAAGCCAGCAGTCTTTATCTATCTCTAGATGCCATTAGGCTCAAAGACTTCTTACCAGATATCTTTCATCAACTCTCAGATCTCTGGAGCCCTTAGACAAACTGGAAAGAAGGCATCGATGGGATTGGACAAGCTGGGCGTCTTGCCCTTGTACCCTAGAGATGATACCTTCCCACCAAGTGGAGAAATACTTACTTCTTCCTTCAGAGCAGCTAAAGGGGCTATGCAGGTCAGAGTTAAAGAGAAATCTCAATTACCAGGGTGAGAAGAATGAAGGCGCTAGAACCAGAAACCCTGTATATGCTGTTGTTGCCACCTAGCATGTCCACCTGCAGAAGTCCTGGGAAGAAGAGAGAAGAAATAAGAGGAGACTGACTACTAAACTAAAGTCTTCAAAGGCAAAATCTAAAGCCAGATGGGCACCATCTGGTCAGTTTATGCATCATTCTCCTCCACTGCTGATTCTGGGCTTTGACATTGGCCATACTCACTCAGACCCCCCCACCTTTGTTACTGCCTCTCAGCCAGAGGGAGACTGAAACATTTATACTACAGAACCATGACCTCCTTTGGAAAGGTCTGGTTGGCATGGCTCCAATGGGCTGCCATCCATGAACTCAGGGTGTGCTCCTGGAACACTGGTTTCATATGGTCCTTTGGCACACCTCTGTTTTGCTGACTTTGCCCCCTGCCCCCAGTCCTGAGTTCAGGGGGAATGTCCACCTACTTTCTCATCTTGGCAACTGCTTCCTCACTTAGCTCTTATGTTCATCTGCTAAACACAAGAAATTAGGGGCCAGTTGCCAAGCTGCCCATTTCACTCTACTTATTGAGAAGGTAGTTTCTGAGTGACATGTTACTATCTACATGGGTTTCCTCCCCTGGTTTCTGTGTTGATATTAATAGCCAAATGAACTTGCAAAACAGCTTCTTTAAATAACAAGAGACAGGGGAACCTAAGATGGGTGATCCACCAATCCAAGACTGCTGGACAAAACTAAAGCTGACAGGTTCTCTTTCTGAGGTAGGATAGACGAATTCTGTTTTTTTTTTTTTTTTAGGACATCATCATTTGGCTTATGTAAGCTCATGAGATTACTTCTGGCTGTTTTAAACAAAACAAAACAAAGAAAAAACAACCCATCACTGTTTTTAGTTACACTAGTAATAGTTTAATAGTTCCTTTACATCTGTTTTAAAATGATTTTCATCTTTTATGGTACATGGATTTGATTATATCATTCTAATATCTCTCCTTGTAAATACTGGATGCTTTCCTTTTTATTTCTGTTGACTACCAAATTTTTCACCTTTATGGATTTCCCAATTGTGACTCTTGTCTTTATGAATATATATGTTTTGCATTTGTGAAAGCCAAAAATCAGTGAAACAACAGTGTAATTAAAAGCAACAACAACTAAATTACTCTGAATTTCCAAATGGCGAGACTAGGGAAAAAACAGCCTGAACCAGGGTTTAGGCCCAGTGTTTTTTTGCACTGGGGTTTCAGTGGGTGAAGGAGATCTTAGCTTGGCTTTGTTCTCCCACAGAGAAAAGGGGATTTTTTTCCTTTTGGCCATTGATGTTCTAGCCAGTGTAATTGACAGAAGTCTCATTTTGCATGCACTCTGCTGTACAAACAGAGTTAATGTGGTTGGTACACTATACTCACCTGTGAAGGATTGGCCACCTAGATCCATTCACCTGGTGAGTGGAAAGATGAGGATCCCTCCCAGACAAGTAATGGTAACTATCTCCAAAGAAGTCTGCAGTGCTCAATGGGGATAGAATGAGGAAGAGAAAAAGAAGGAGCACCAGGGAGAACGCCCCATCTGTGCTGCCAGAGAGTCACAAACTCTGTGGTCAAAGAAAACAGTCTTATGGCAGTTTCAGCTCTTGTTCATTTGGCAGCTCTTCTGGGCCTAGCCTCTGAGCTGAGATGAGGGTTGGGTTCTTTGTTCCATAGCTTATCTGTGCCACAGACAATACCATTGTTCTTGGAGAGTTCGTTATTTTTTTAATGAGAATGGAATTTTTCAAAGTATTCTGTCATTTATCTTTGAAAAAGAAAATCAGTAATACATATATTTTTATATATGTTCACTGGCATGAAAAAAAGAGAAAAAAGCTTTGCTTTGTCCTTTGGATAGTTGCTGAGGTGATTTCAGGTTGAGAAATAATGTGCTGATGCTAGAGTCCCTCCCTGTCCATATTCTACTTCTAAATACATATATGCATATATAGCAAGAGGTATTTCTATTTGCACTTTAAGAGAAAGTAGTTTCATCATCCACATGATAGTGACACTAAACGAATGACCTAATTTTGAGCTTCGAGTAGCTTCTAAGAGTTTGTTTCATTAGCCACAGTACAGACAAGGCCTTGCCCTCTTTGCTCTCTTGATATTCTGTGGGGCTCCAAAGCCCAAGCCACTCCCCTCGACCCCTTCCCATCCCTGTGCCAGGATTGCACTTCACAAGACTCTGCAGACAGCCCTGTGTGCCTCTGGGGAAACAAGAGGCTGACTACTAATTATCTTGTGCCAGTTCCCCAGGTGAGAGGGCACTGGACCAAAAGAGTGGCCTTTGTGCTCAACCCCCTGTAAAGGGTCATGGGAACCAGGAATGCTAAAGCACAGGATCAGATCCCAAACTGAAAATCAAAATAAGCCATTTAGCATGTGCATTTTCTTGTAAAAGGAGGTTTATACCCCTGCTGCCTTTTATAGGCAGGTCTGTTTCTCCCCACTAATCTCTTTGAAAATCTTTGAAAGCATTTAAAAAAAAAAGACAAAGAGATGAAAACATCACATTATGTAACCAAAGATTACACTGTATCTGCTAAGATACCAAAATTTAAGAGCATGGAGGGAGCAAGCATTAGTGCCTCTTTGGTAAACTATCCAAAGACAGACTAAAGGACTTTGTTGTTCATTGACTTATAAGAGTTTGTGGGTTTTCCCCAAAACGATATACATGTTTAGCAAAGTGAAAGATAATTTTGAAAAAAACTGAGTTTATAGGTCCTTCACTAAGTGATTTTATGAGCATAACTAGCTTTCTTTTTCTCTAGTAGTTGCTGAGCAAATTCTTAAAGCTCCATTATTGCATGGTTGGAAATGGAGCTGTCTTGGCCACTGTGTTTGCTAGTGCCCATGTTAGCATATCTGAAGATGTGAAGCCCTTGATGAGAAGGGGAGCATTTAAAGTACTAGATTTTGCACTAAAGGGACAGCAGGCAGAAATTCTCATTTCTGCCCACTTTGGATGACACAAAAAGCTCTCTTGGGTTTAAGGCAGAAGGTTGAAATATATTGTAAATTACTATTTGTATCCATGTTTCAAAATTGAATTATATATGTATAGATATAATGTGTTCTGACAGCTTTATCTTTCTCTGCACCTTTATATTTGGTTCCAGGTCATAACTGATACCATGTACTTATGAGAGAGGCTACAATGACACTTTGGAAGCCCTCTCAGAATGGACAAGATACCTGGGTTGATCAGATAGCTAAGAGATCTCTGCCTCTGTTGGGGCCTTACCCATAGGGGAGGACAGGATAGGGTACATGATGTACTGCACTTTACTAGCCCAAGACAGATGAATGTGTAAAGGGTGGTGAAGATTCATTGGAATCAACTGGGATTTCCCATAGGGAAGGCCCAGGCTTGGGGCCAAAGGCCCACCCGAATGACTAACCAGTAGACCCCTAATGGGACATGAGCATTGGAAGAAGGAAGAACATTCTTTGTTCTTCAACATCCTTGTGAGAAAAGGGCAGTTTCCTACACTTGGGAACCTGGAGCAAGAGCTCCGAACTTTACACAATTCACTCACCTACGATTGAGGTGCTCTTGCTACTGGGTGTCTGTGTGCTCTAATTTTGGTTTTGGATATGTTCTGTAAAGATTTTGACAATGAAAATATGTTTTTATCTGTTACAAAACTGTCAGTGTACTTACTAGAAGTTGTATCTCTGTAGATGCAGGTCCATCTCTGCCCCTGGGTAGGGATGTTTGGCTTCAATTAAGAAACTGACACTGGGGTCTGCTGCCCAGAGCCTCCCAACCATAAACCATTTCTAGGTGAAGGCAGAAAACTCTACATTAGTCACTCCTGCTTTTCAGATGCTTAAGCTGAGGTACCAAGCCACTTGGAATGTTCCTTCCCCCAGAAATTAGTGATAAGTTTTCCCCATTTAGCAGGTAGACATCATTTTAAATGGAAAAGCAGCCTTGGCACAGTTTTGATTTATCCCCATTTGACGTAGCCAGAAAGTAGGTAATATGCATTGATGGGTTACCAACCCCAATTCAGTATAGTGGGGGTGCTGAACCCTTTCTTTACCTCACTTGTATGGAATTAAATGCAAAGCTATGGACTGAGTAGTCCTGCTAGCCTAGAACAGCCCCCACATGTACTAATTTATGAGGCTGTCTATCTCATGGCTGCAGATTCCATGGGCCCCCAAAAACTGAAACACACACATACCCCAAAGGAAAGAAGTTCCTAAAATGTTGCTGCCCGGGTGGTGCCCTCCCTGGCTGCTGCTTTACATTTTGGGACTCTGTTCCCCTGCACTGCAGGCAGGCCAGGCCTGCAGTCTTTCCCAACCTTAGCCCTTGGTGCTAACTGTCCTGCAGTGAAGTGCCTGTGGGATTGTCCTGTCCCATAAGCTCCTCAGGTGCTGAAAGTAGCCACCACTGGGATAACCCAAGCTAACAAAAGAGTCCCCTCACCATTCAGTGACACCTTTCTGCTTTCCCTTAGACTGGAACATTGATTAGGGAGTGCCTCAGATGTGACATTCTTGTGCTGTCCTTGAGATTAATTTGGCAGCAAGAGGGAGCAGACAATGTAACCAGATGTAAGAATTAATTTTCAATGTTGAGGGAAAAAATAAAGAAAAAAAGCATCATATAAAGATGTTTTTAAAAAGAAACATTAATTTTGCTTGAAAGTTCTGATGGGGCTTAAAAAGTTCTTTTGACTGGTTCTTAGAGCGGCATTTGGCCTCCACTGGGTAGCAGGACCAGCCCCAAGCTCTAGTGCTCTGTTCTTTTTTTGTGATCTTGGAATCTTTTGTTGCTCTAAATACAATTAAAAATGGCAGAAACTTGTTTGTTGGAATACATGTGTGACTCTGGGTTTGTCTCTGTCTCTGCTTTCAGAAATATCATCCATTTGTAAAATACTGGCTTGCTGCTCCGCCAGTTAAAACTTGGCCACGGTCCCTGTTGTGGCTGCAGGCTCAAGTTATTATTAACAAAGAGACTCGAGAAAAGCTGCTAATGTCCTCTTATCATTACTGTTAATTTGTTAAAACATAAAACCATCTAAAATTTCAGGGGAATGTCATCAGAGATTTTTAATTAGCTCTTTTTTATTGGCTGTCTTTATTGAAGTCAAGAGTTGGTACCATGCCCAGTGGCCTTTTATGCTATGTTGATTTTCACATATTTTAAAAAATCTTTGCACAAGGGTTATAAATATGCCCTGAGTTGGCCCTAGAATAAGTTGAACTGAGACCACCAAAATATCAAAGAGTCTGGGCTAAGAAAGCACAAACGGACCCTGATGACCCATTACAACCTTGCATCAAACCCTGAGCTTGTCAACTAGTAGTGGAAATACACACAAAACCCAGCTGTTAACCCTCATCTTCATCCTTATGGGAACATAAAATGATTGGGAGCTTCACTGCCCAGTTCTTGCCAAGCTTCAGATGAGGAATGGGCATGTTCATATTCTCACTGTTTTTCCAGAGCTCTATTGTCCTTGACCACCCAAGTAAAATCTGAACCAGATCTCTTTGATGTTTTTAAGGGTTTAGGCAAGGTGGCCTCCTGTCACCTGTGTGACAGATGCATTAAGGAATAATATGAAAGCTCCCTGTGCCTCAGTGTCCTCCCTAGAATAGGGATTGTCACCATGTCTCTCTATGGGCCCAGGCTAGGGATTCACTGAGAATGTGTGTGACCCAGCTGGTGAGACTATTGCTCTTGCTTTGTTCCCTATTAAAATGTGAGAACCCCTGAACAGGATCCCAAGTTGAGTTATATTTGTCATTGGCCACCTCAGAGTGGATAGCTTTCTCAAATTATTCCTGAACACAGTGCTTGATGGAGAGAAGAAGAAAACAGATTTTGCTGACGTGTGTGTCTAAGTAATAGAGAATGTGTATGCTTGTGGGTTGGTTATGTGTGTCAGAACCTGCCTCTATAAGACCCCTCTGACCACCATTGTTTGGTACTCTTCTTTTGTACCTACAGAGAGTGGTCTAACAGCCACCCTACTTGGTTTTATTAACCACTCAGTTCCTGCCTAAAGTAACAAGGTTGTTAGCTTCCACCATACATTTTCCAAGGGATAGAAGAACACAGAGGTCAGGGAAACAAGGATATTTGGTGTATTAAAAGGAGCCCAGAGGCTTCAATATATGGTCCAATATATGACTTGCTCATAGTCATATAGCTAGTGTATAGATAGGATTCTGACCTGCTGATTTACTTGCTATATGGTACTGAGCAACTCTTTGCCCTTTTCCAGATCTTAGTTTTCCCATCTATGAAATGAGTGTGTCTAAAAATGTAGAATAAGACTGAATGAAATGGGAAGCCCCTTCCAATATCAAAATTGTGCTTATTGCAAACTACAGTAGTAACACCTTTGTTAATCATGACATAAAAGGGGAAAGGAATGGGCTCTTCATTATCCCCAAGAGACATAGTTTGGGAACTAAAATCCCCATATTTGTACTCAACAAAAAGTTAATGAACACCTGGAGAGAAGAGGGTCAAAACAACATTTGAGTCCTGTGTTACAGATGCTTGATTGACGGGGAACCATCAACCCCTTGATTGATGGGGAAAGGGCTCAAAAGTGAAATAATTTGTTTACCATGTAGATGATCTCATAAGTAGCAGAGATACTTAGGAGTTAAGTAAGCCACAGTCCATGCTTTCAGTGAGTTTACAGCTTATTAAGTGCCTTAGGCCAGGACAGTCTGGGGCTTTAACTTATCACATCTACCTTCCAGCCTTCTCACATCCGTCCCTCAGACAAGATTAAGCTACCTTTCATTGATAATTGCTGCCTTTTAAAACTAGAAGGGGTTTTAGCAACTAGCCCAAACATTCTTCACATGAGGAAGCCAGGCCGAAAAATTATTGAATATTATTGCGAATTAGGACCCTTGGCAAGGTTACTAGCCCTAAAACACCCAGCTTACCGTCTCTTCATATGCCTGCAGGCAGCATGCCTGGGTGGCAGGGCACCTGAGAATCTTTACCATCCCTTTGCACACTGGTTCAGACCCCTGATCAGAGAGCCTCTGCTTCTCATCTGTTTTGCCCATGTATACAGTTCAGGGATCTCTATTCCAACCATGGCACATACTTCACCTACCATCCACTCCAAGAGCTTTTCTTCATGCCATTGCTGAGGGTGGGATAAGAAAAGGAGAGAATTATTGGGAAAGCTGGAGAAGTAACTGTAGAAGCCATGAGAAAAATTTAAAAACACACTGAAGTACGACAAAGTAGGTTTCTGAGTTAACAGGCAGATGCAGATGATTCAAATTCTCAGAATCTCCTGCCACCATTTCTTCATGCCACAACTTCCCTTCTTCCTTCAACTACTTCCCCAGGGTACTTCAAGCAAGGACAAGGCCATTTGGGGAACTTGGACTGGCTGCCAACCAGGAAAACTGTACCAAGAAAGTCAACTTAAGCCAGACTCTATGCAAATAACTGTACCCTTCCCAATCCCCATTGGGCACTTTGAATCTCAGATCAAAATAGGCCAGCAGAGCAGCAGATGCTGTGAGAGGCACATCACCTGCCACCTGGATCATGACACTTGTCCCCAAAGGAAGTAAGGCCTTAAGGCCTTTTGATGCTTATACATAGGGCTAAGAGTGGGTATGAAACTTCTGAAAGGACCTCACCACCTCAAAAGACTGCAAGGATTCTTCACAGAGGCACAATATCCAATTATTCCCTCATTCACTTGTTCTTTCATTTATTCACAAACTATTTGTACAACCATTATGTATCCTACACAGGAGTAAGAGAGACATGGTTTCTGTCCTCATGGAGCTTCCAGAATAGTGAGAGAGACAAAAACACAGACGATTGTAATATAATGTAATGGGTACTGTGGTGAGGGAAGTTCAAGGTTCTGTTGGGGTACAGAAAAAAAAATGCCTCTCATGGAGTAGTGGGAAGGTCTAATTGGAAGCCTTCTTAGAGCAGCCTAGGCTGTGACCCAAGTTGAATGAAGATGGGCCTGAGGGTAGAGAAAAAGGTATTCTTAAGGCAAGAGATAGCAGCAGCCTTGTTAGTGAAACTACAAATAGTTTAGCCTGAGGGAAAAGTTGGAAGAAGGTTGTGGCTGTGAAAGACCAAGGAAGAGTGGAGGCACAAGCAAGCCAATGAAGGCCTATGTGTTAAAGAGTTTGTACCTTTACCTCAAGTTTAAAGGGAAGCCATAGAAATCCTTGACAGCATTTCAATTCACAGAACTTATGATCTCATATGAACCTCACAACATCCTGTGGTGGCAGGCAGGTCAGAGAAACTAATAGTACACTGAATTGTTAAGTAACTCAAATTTGGATAAAAACTTTAAAGAATAATAGTAATATTTTAACTAGTATGATAGTAAAGAATCCACAGCCAGAAAGAAATGAAAGCAGAAATTCTGGAGGTAAATGAGTGTCAAAGCCAAATGTTACCCTGAGAAGACTGAATTTCTATATTGATGACTATAAGAGCTGAGAGAAAAAGGAGAGAAACACTAGGACTTGCCCAAGATGGGAAATGTTATAGGAAATTTCCATATAAGGCTGGTACCCTAAAGGGGTATACCCTCAGTGTAAAAGTAAAGAAAAATTAATCTGTCTCACAAAAGGAGATAGCAAGAAAACCTGCCTCACTTGACCTTGGCACTGGGTGAAGAAGAAAAATAAACCTCTCATGAGAATTTGTAGCCATAGGTGGTCCACATAGAGTTTTGTAATCCTAATTCAACATGTATGAAGTCTGAAAAACTAGAAGCTGAGATCTCAGATCAGCAGTTCCCACAGGTGATGACAAAGGCAAATCCCCTGAAAGAATACATTCAGGCCTCAAAAATTCCTATATATAATGGTCCAAAGAAAAAGAGCATCTCATAGTCAAAAGTTACACACACACACACACACACACACACACACAAAAAGATACCCTGAAAAAGTCCATAAAAACAATAAGCATCAGAATCAAACCCACATGGACACGTGGGTGGCTCAGTGGTTGAGCGTCTGCCTTTGGCTCAGGGCATAGTCCCAGGGTCCTAGGACTGGGTCCTGCATCAGGTTCCCAGCAGGGAGCTTGTTCTCCTTCTGCCTAGGTCTCTGCCTCTCTCTGTCTCTCATGAATAAATAAAAATTAAATCTTAAAAAAAAAGAATGAGACCTACAGACCAAAGAATGTAGAACCATCACAAATAAAATATAAAGTTAACTTTATTTAAAGTGATTAAAGATATTTATAAAATGCTTGAAATATAAGCAAGGAGCAAGAAACTATGCAGAACAACCAAGCCAAATTTTTCAAAATGTGAAAAAGAATAAAATAGAATCTCTAGAACTAAAACATAGGTAGTAGAATCAAATATAACTGAAGAGAGAATTAGGAAAATGAGAGATATGCAAACAAATTACCCATAGTGTAGTATTGAAAGACAATAAAATAAAGACTCCTATGTATATAACATTTTATCCATTAATCTGTTAGTGGACACTTAGGTTGTTTCCAAGTCTTAAGTATTGTAAATAATGCTGCTATGAACGTGGGGATGCAGATATCTCTTCAACAGAGAATTTTGTTTCCTTCAGATATGTTCCAGTAGTGCAATTACTAGATCATATGGTAGTTCTATTTTGAATTTTTTTAAGAATCCCCATACTGTTTTCCATAGTGGCTATACCAAATAACCCCACCAATACACAATAGTTCTCTTATCATCTCTGCATTCTTGTCAGCATTTGTTTTACCTGTCTTTGATGATAGCTATTCTAACAGGTATTAGAATGAAGTGATATCTTATTGTGGTGTTGACTTGCATTTCCCTAATGATTAATGGAG